AGGGGGCGGCGTGGGGGGGGGGCGACGGGGCGAGGGGAGGTGGGGCTCAGCATTACTAACAATTTTTTTTCTTTCAAAACTACTAATGACGCACGGTGGAATTGGTGCGCCATTAATATGTCAACTAGTAATGGCGCACTGTACAATGATGCGCCATTAGTAATATTTTTTTTCAAAACTACTAATGGCGCACCAAGCACTAGGCACCAGGTGCGTCATTAGTAATATAATAATATATTACTAATGTGCGCCATTAGTATATAATAATGACGCACCACATGTCTGATGCGTTATTACTGGCTATATCATCTATAGCCCTTTTGCTAATAGTGCTAGGACTCTTCGGAACGAAGGGAGTAGGTTCGAAGGCTGTTCTACTCTCGCCATTAACGCAATGCTCTCCGGACGGTGGAACGCTGATGGATTGAAATACAATGGAGTGCACGTTGGATTGTGATACAAATTGAACTAGCCAAAGCACCGTGGAAAAACACTGTTGTTGTACGAATCAAACTGTGGTTGGATGGTTAGAGGGACTGTGGTATTCTCAGCCCATCAAAATTCAAATCCTGGTGCTCGCATTTATTTCTAAATTTATTTCAGGATTTCCGGCGATGCGCATTCAGTGGGAGGAGACATTCCCGTCGACGACAAGGTGCCTAGGTGACTTCGTAAATCTCAAGATGACATGTCCACTCAGTCTTTCGGAGATGCTCATAGGGGTAGGGTGTGCGTGTGCGTGTTTATAGGGGTGAGTGTATGTGCGTGCTATGAGCGCTTGTGTCTGTACTGATGTTAAAAAAAACACTGTTGTTGTACTGTTTTTTTTCGTAGCACCAAATCTGAACCGCAGATGTTAAATCTAATGGCTGAGAGTTGCAAAAGTCTTCTCTAACTTTGCTCTTGCAAGTCAAAGAATCTGTGTCGTGGTCCTCCATGTGCGCAAATCTCTTTTTACCGGAGCCGGTAGCTACCGGTTAGGAATCCATCGTTCATTGACTATGCTAAAATTCGTGTGACTGCCATGCATTAATTTTCAGTTTCTGCTATACATCATTTATACCTGGACAAATACAGTGAATGGACCCTACTAATACTATTGTTTAATCGGATGCATGCATGTTCCTCTCTCCCTCATGTACAACAGTACACATGCATGGCAGCAAAACTACTGGTGCAGTCTCTCTCCTCTCTTACACAACAAATTCACCTTTTTATTTCATCATTGTTAATTTAAATCATTTATATCTTTCAAATAAAAAATTCAATTTTGAAACTTTTTATATATTTGAACTCCTGGCGTAGAGATCTTTAAAACAGGTCAATATTGAATATATTTTGTCTACTTTGAGTTTTGTTATTTGAATCATTTTTTCATTTCAATTATATATTCATCAGTGAAATCTGTTTTTTGAAGTTAGTGAAATATGTCTGTTAAATTGGGTAAAATCGTTCATTCAAATTATTGAAGTCAACCCTTTTGTAATGAGTTAAATATAACTTTTGAAACGAGTGAAATACATTTTTTTTAATGAGAGGAATCTGATTTTTGAAATGAGTGATACATTCTTGTTAAAATGAGTGAAATGCATTTTTTGAATGAGCGGAATCTTGTTTTTTGAAATGAGTGAAACATGTCTCTAAAATGAGTGAAATCCCTTTTGGAAAATTAGTTTTCAAAAGAACTGTAATCTATTGCTTGAAAAAAGTAGAGTGAAATTACTTTTTGAAATAATTGTGAAACTGATGTGTTTTGAAATTGAAATAACAAAGAAATGCATCTGTTAAATAATTTTTTCCAACATGTGAAATAGATTTCTCTTCAAATTATGTGTGATATATGACATAAAGAACATGTGTGATATATGAAATAGGTAAAGTGTTCTAAAATAAATGTGATCTATGAAATTAACTTTTGTCAAATATATGAAAGTATTATTTTTTAAATGTGTGAAACTACTTTTTGTGAAGTCGATGTGTTTTGAAATTTAAATAACAAAGAAATGCATCGGTGAAATAATTGAAATCAATTTTAAAGTTGTGAAATAGATCATTTCAAAGAGAGAAGCGGATTTTTTTTCAACATGTGAAATATATTTCTCTTCAAATTATGTGTGAAATCTTAAATGAAGAACAATTGTGATATATGAAATATTAAAAGTGTTCTAAAATAAATGTGATATATGAAATTAATATTTTGTCAAATATGTGAAAATATTATTTTTAAAATGTGTGAAACTACTTTTTGTGAAGCCAATGTATTTTGAAATTGAAATAACACAAAAAATGCATCTATGAAATAATTGAAATCAGTTTTTAAATTGTTAAATAGATTGTTTCAAAGAGAGAAGCAGGTTTTTTTAAGTGAAATAAGTGGTTTGAAACATCTTAATTTAAACATGTTTAAAAACTATCCAAAATTATACTTGTTCTATAGATCTTGGCATCATGAGTTCAAATATATAAAAAGTTTTAAAAAATAAATTTTGCTTTTAAAGATATCAACCATCTAAAATATCGAAAGAAAATAAATATTGATGGTTTTTTATAGGTACAGACAAGAGATGAGTCGCCTTGTCCCATACTGTGCATAGAAAAAGCTGCATGCGTCAGGGATGTAGGGCTGTTTTGTCTGTGCATGGGGTCCAGGTTGAAGAAATAAAAAGTTGGTAAAATGGGAAAGCAATGAAATACGTTGGATACTTAGCCCACACAAAGTTAGCTGGCTACATTTGATTGGTGGGCATTCACTGGTAGCTCCCAGCACCGGTAAATTTACTCATGTTCCAACGTCGACTCGCCTTCCCTGGCACGATACCGAAGCGCTATAAGTGAAGCCGCTCCCATGGCACCCGCGGCAGTATCTCGCCACCAACCCCCGCACTTCCCTTTCGCCATCGTCTGACTCCATGGCGCTCGCAGCAGCAACCCTTGCCTCCTCTCCGCGCGTATCTATCTCCGTTTCCGCCGCTGGGATGAACAGCAGCGGCCTGTCCGTGTCGTTGGGGGCGCGCCGTGTGCCGGGGATTTCTGTGCAAATTCATTCCCAGCGGAGGAGGATTGTCGCAGCGGCGGCAGTGGCGAGAGGGGACGAAGGGGCCGGTAAGACCTTCGTGGAGGAGATGAGGGCTGCGGCGATGCGGATGCACACCAAGGACCAGACCAGCGAAGGGGAGAAGGAGCTCGAGGGACCGTCACTCAACGAGCTGGAGCCTAACCTTGACGCCTACCTGCGCTTCCTCGTCGACAGCAAGCTCATCTTCCAGACGCTCGAGAACATCGTCGACCGCGCCGCCGTCCCATGGTGTGAGTCACTGCAAACCCGTCCTTCCATGTGGTTTTGTGTAATTAGCTCTACCAGTCAATTTTTTGCGGCCTCTAGTTTGTGGCGGGTAGTGATTTCGTGCCACAGTTTATTTTGGTCACTATAATGCATTCATACTTCTTTGAGAATGACTACATGCCGCCTGACTTTCATATTTGGGTCAATCGACGGTTTCAGACCATTGGATGAAGATCCTATGGTGCCTGACCCTTCTTCTTCGTCAGCATACGGCCGCACCGTTCGCCGCCCGAACCGCCGGCCCTGCCACGCGCGGGGCGGCTCTCCGGCGACCGCCTCGCCCTCCCCTGAACCACCACATATTGTCGGTCTTCCGCCGCCCCGACCATCCCTCTAGGCCCCCGCGTCGAGTTTTTTCTCCGGCGAATCCCCACCACAACCACCACCACAACCAGTCCCCACCCTGAACCCTAAGAGAGATAATGGGATGATGACTGCAGGCCCCTTCGTCCCCTCCTGTCCGGCCTTCCTCCGGCGAATTTCTGCAGGAATCTCAAAATCGACTGACCCATTAGCTATTGTATATTTATTTCTGCTAGACTAAAATCGAATGTACAGATCAAGAGCCAGGATCCAGAGACAGGCAATTATTTTTGTCATTTCTGATAATATTTGGGAAAAATATGTTATCCTAATATTAATCATGGTTCACTAATCATAATTAAGGTGTACAAATATTTTAAGCTATGATTATTGCAGATGCTTTCGAGATAATACATGCCTATTTTTTGTAAAACCAGTTGTTACACTGAATGTTCAACAGAATGCTGTGTGATTTTTTTTGCTATTATAAACCTGTGATGAGATGTACTTCAGTATTAAGAATAGTGGCATATCGTTTGCACTGGAGGTGATCTAGATGAAGTTAAGAATGGATCCGCACAAATTTAATAAAACGTAGGTAGGTTCTCAGTTGTTGCGAAGAGGCATCTTCTATTCTTTGGTGATTCGACAACATCTTGTATCTCAAATGCTCCAGGGGAAACACTTCCCAGTCTGAATAATTTCATCAACATTTCTAGTGAACATGTTCATATATCAAGTCATTATCAACTAAAATTATTTGGAACTGGTGCATATTTATTCGTATTGCTTGTGATATGGAAGTGGTGTATTTGTTTGCTTCACATATAACCGTACGTAGTGCTATAGTGGGTTTTCCCCTACTTGGCAAACATGTTGGAAGCTATAGTTGCCATCTTACTCGTGCATGCGAAGTCTCTCCATCTAGAATGATAATTGAAGACATTTTTTCATTGATGGCTTTCAATACCTTTTTTACAAATCTATCTTTGAAAATCAGCGCTCTAAATGGCGCTAGGCACTATGCTGGCGGCAGGGTGGCGCATAGTCAGGGCTAGATGGCTGGCTCCTTTTACATCACTGTTTGCAGTGCAACCTCCGTCTCTCTATTTGTGTTGACATACTTAGCAGCAACCCTTGACCAAGCCTCCCCCCTCCCCTCCCCCGAGTCGCCCCCGGCCGCCTCCCCAGATCCCATCAGCCCGCTTCCCCCTCTCCTCCTTCTCCTCCCTCGCCGCTGCCCGAGGGCGTGGCCAGGCGAAGCCTTGCCATCGCCGGTGGCGGCGGGGACTCGGGACACACCCGCGTGCTTGTGAGGGGATGGTGTGGGTAGGCGCCCCTGGGCCGGAGCGTGACTTGCGGCCGGGCGTTACTACGGGTGGTGGCGGTGCTCCGGCGGTCCCGTACCTCCGCGGTAGGCGGCTTCAACGCCTGGGGCGTTGCGGTCGCCAGGGACGGTGGCGGCGTGACCGGATCGGCGGCGGCACGGCCGGACCTGGACCCAAGCGTGGGCTTGGTCTCTGGGTCGCGGTCGGCGTGGTGGCAGGTGCGACACGTCGGTTGGGCGGATCTGCGGGATACCACCCTTGTCTGGTCCTTGACAGCGCGGGCAACTCCCGGGGAAACCCTAGATCTCATTATGATCGAGCGATGACGGTGCTTTTGCGTCGTAGTCCCTCTTCATGGCGTAGTTTTGGAGTTTGCCCCGGTGGCGCAGCTGCCGATGAAAATCGCGCTGACTACGGTCATGACGGACGATGGCGACGTCTTTGATGTTGTTTCCTTGTCGAGGCATCATGTTACAGTTTGCGTCATCAGGCTCTGGATGCTTTGGGGGAAACCCTAGATCTGGGTCTCCCGGATCGAACGATGATGGCGTTCTTAGTATCGCTTTCCCTCCTAGGGGCATCGTTTTGAAGCAAGTGATGGCTGGAGGTGACAAGAGGAGGAGCGGTGTTACATGTACCACAAGGCTGACAACGGATCGCAGCGGCATGGTGCTGCGAAATTTTGGCGGTGGACGCGTGTAGATGGACACGTGCAGGATGGTGGCGTTGTCTGATGCGGTGGTGACGTCGACGGTAGGCCTGGCAAGAGGTTGATGTGTCAGTACCTGCTCTGGAGACGGATCAGTGGTTGACGGTGGCGGCGGTCTCTGGGAGTGCGCCAGACCGGTGTGTGGCCTAGTCCTGGCATTGTGGCTTGGTTGCGGCATCCGGCTTTGAATGTTAGGCTTTGGTGTCATGTCTGTTTGGTATTAAGCTCGGACATTTGGCACCCCTTCATCAAGGGGATAGGAGTAGCAACACGTGTGTTGCCAAGATGATGACTTCAGACATGATGATGTATTACTTTGTAAAGTCTTTGTTAATAATTAATAAATTGGCTGCATGCATCGTCTAGATGTAGAATCCAGGGGTATATCCTCATTTTCAAAAAAACTTAGCAGCAACCCTCATGTATGACGCACTACCGGATTTGGCACCTTTGCCGAGTATCAAAAAGACTCTGGAAAGCCAAAATACAACTCGGGGAAAACTTCGCCGTGTGTTACACTCGGCAAATAGGACATGGTAAAAATACTATCGGCAAAGTCTTTGCTGAGTGTCTTTCTACATCTCTCGACAAAAAAGCACATTGACGGCCGGTCGCCACTAATGGAGAGTCATCATGACATCATATTTGCCCAGTGTTTAAAGCCGATACACGGCAAACATTTTGCGGAGTATATTTTTGAAAATACAAGACAAAGTTTCAAAAACTTTGCCGAGTGTATTACAGAAAACACGTGGCCAATATTCAAAAACTTTGCAGTCTGTATTTTCAGAATACACAGCGGTTCTGGACCATTTGCCGAGTATTTCAAAATACACTCAGCGAAACGATTTCCGGCATGGCCATTTGGTCAGAGAGACGCCCAGATGGTACTAGATTCTGCCACGTGGCACCTTGGCTTGCTGAGTGTAACACTCGGCAAATGCCCCAGTTATTTTTTTAGTTTTTAGCTGTTTTGTTTTAAATCCCTGCAATTCAGCACAATAAATACATTCTACCATTCTGAATAGAAGCAGAAACATATATAGGGCACAAATCCATCAAGTTCCAAAGCACAAGCAGACACCGAGTTCAAAAGTTCCCAAACATGTACATGTTCATCAAACAAGTTGAAGTCACTTGTCCATCAAACACAAGTACTACACAATGACGAAGGCGTCCATGATGCGATCCTACAAATATGAAAGCAAATGCATGAGTTACACAATTATAGATTTTGACAAGTTATAGAATTCTACAAGTGTGCTGACATGATTTCCGTAAGTTCCAAATATGTATAAATTAAAAGACTAAACATGATTTTTACAAGTTAAGACTAAACATAGGAGAACGGTCACATGATTTTTACCGTGTACTCACATGATTTTGACAAGTTCTAAATTTTGACAAGTGTAGTCATATGATTTGCACAATAGCAATATGGATAATTTTCATAAGTTCCAATTTTTCCCAAATTATTAAGATTGCTATATGGACCCACAAGCATGAGTAACACAAGACTAGGAGAACTCACCTGGAGTCACAGTGCCCAGTGTGGGGCTGAGACGAGGTTGAGAAGCCGTAGTAGGCGTCACCGGGCTTTCTTGCAGATTTTGAGACGAACAGGGGTTGAGTGGCACATTGTTGGATCCAACCGATGGGTGAACCTACAAGCATGGAAAATAATTAGCATGAGATGGTAAGCACGAGACAATAAGATGAATGATTGAAAAGCTGCAAGAAACTTATGAAGCCGAAGCTAGAAGGAGCAAGAGGAGGAAAAGCCGTAGTTGAAACTGGAAAGTTTTACCTCAATGGATGTACTTTGTTTATTCTGCTTAGAACAATAAATGGCTTAATTACGGAAATCTCATAGTGGTTATGTGGCAGATTATCTAACCTTTTTCTGCCGGAAATTATAGTTCCCTACGATGGAGCTGGAACATTTCTTTCATCATTGTTAGCTAGCTAGATGCTGCTGATTGACATTTTAGTTATCTGTGTCTATCAGATGCGGAGTTCCGGAATACTGGGTTAGAGAGATCAGAGGCACTGAAGAAAGATCTGAAATGGTTCAGCGAACAGGGTCACACAATTCCAGAACCATCTGCTCTTGACACTAAATATGCTTCCTATCTGGAAGAGTTGTCTGAGAAGGACCAGCAAGCATTTTTCTGTCACTTCTATAATATGTACTTTGGTCAATCTGCTGGAGGTCGACTGACCGGCAAAAAGGTACCACTTTTCAGCACAAAACATTGTACCGAACGTTCATGTGAATATGTGATGTAAAATAGTGTTTGTGTGAATGGCTTCCCATATTTGTTGTTAACAATGTGTTGTTGGCACTGGTTCTTCTCAATCTTCTTATTTTGCTGATTGAAATTCCAAAAGAAGATAGTAGTATGATATTACTGTATGAACTCCGTTGAGGGTCACTTTATGCACAGATCTGTTTCATATCTCGTTCTTCTGCTATGTAAATACTTCTACATTCATTCTATAGCTGGCCATTTCGTTGTGGAGCATGAATCCTTATATTTACTTATCCAATGCAAATCAGGGCATCACGGCAGACTGTATTCTGTCAGTGTGGTGTGAGCGAGAGTTACCTGTTCCTCCATTGATGAATACTCCCTCTGTCCCAAAATATAAGAACATTTTTGACACAAAAGTGTCAAAAATAGTGTCAAAAATGTTCTTATATTTTGATACGGAGGGAGTATCATTTAACCTAGTAATCATGCCCTCTATTCATGTCAGATTGCTGACAAGATTCTGAACAAGAAAGAGCTGGAATTCTACAAGTGGGAAGGTACCCTGTCCGAGCTGCTGCAGAATGTCCGCACAAAACTTAACCAAGTTGCTTCTGTAAGTCCAAAAGCTTTGATGTCGTGCTCTTATTTTTTCTGCCCGTGTGTCTCTCAGTGTCTTAACCCGATCACATCTATGCTCAGAACTGGACCCGGGAAGAGAAGAACCGCTGCCTGGAGGAGACTGTGACGTCGTTCGCTTATTCAGTAGATCGTCTGCGCAAGATATTCACCTGAGCTGGAACTTAGGTTGTATCATTTTCTTGTCAGCTGTATCAGATCATCGGATCGGATCGTAGTATCACGATACTATGTGATTTTCACTTTTAGTATTGTCAATCTATATATTGAAAAATACAAGAAAGACTTGGGGGCTTACTGTCAAGCACATGAGCTGGTGTGCTAGGCCTCCCAAGTTCAAGCCTCACCACTCTCTTAATAAAATACCACTGTGGTTCCTCTAGTTTTATATATTGAAAAATACTGCAAATGTATTTACATTTTTTAATTATAAAATTGAATTTTGAGCATATTGTATCTCCTTCGTACAGGCCGATCAATGTTACTTTCATATATTGAATATAAAAATACAAACCCATAAAACAAATGGCTTAGGCCAACGTACTTCAAAGCTAGCTAGTCCTTGTGAATTGTGGCTTGCGAGGGATCATTCGGCAAGCAAATGTGTAGCTGTCCCGTGGCCCCATGTGACGATCGACAGAGAAGGATCGATCGCACGATGGGGAATTGGGGGAGGAGCAGAGGTAGGAGACGGGAGTACGTAGGAGAAGGGGAGAGACTCGAATTGACTTGTTCATTCATTTGATACCCAGTACACTGGAGATACTTGGCTAAATACCCATGCACGCCACACACTGATTAGAATGGGCCACAGCCAGCCCATGGACTCACTGGGCTCAGCCCAAACTACCCTTCTCCCTATTAAGTCCACCGCTATGCAGTAGCAGGTGTGACAATTGCCCCCTCTTGAGCAAGAGCTTCGTTCTCCCAGATCCGTGCAGTAGGGTAGCGTTGTCGGAGAACCGTATAGTCTTCCCAGGTTGCAGATGCCTCTAAGAGAGATGACCACTGTACACGAACCTGCATGATGGAGGCGTTCCCTTTCTTGACCATGCAGTGCTCCAGAATAGCTTTAGGGACGAGCGGTGCAGGTGTGAGGTCCGGTGCCTTTGGCAATTCCGAGAACATTGGAGTGTAATCTGGAGTAAATGGCTTCAACCACTAGTAGAAAAACGACCTGTTATACCGGTTTGTAAGGACCTTTAGTCCCGGTTCTGTGACCGGCACTAAAGGGTGGGGACTAAAGGTACCCCCTTTAGTCCCGGTTCAACACGAACCGGGGCCAAAGGCCCACCACGTGGCACGAGCCCGCGCGGTGGACTGGGGCACCTTTAGTGCTGGTTGGTAACACCAACCGGTACTAAAGGATATTTTTTTGATTTTTTTTTCAAAAACTAAATAAAATTTTCCCCATTTTTTAAATTTCTGAATTATTTGACGATTTTGTCTCTAATCACCGCTCATCATTGCTCTAATCACCCCTCATCATTTCAAGTCATCTAACTTTCTGGCCGGTCACCCAACCTCTCACTACTCCAGCCTGAGCACGCTTAACTTCCGAATTCTATTCCCCCTAGTTTCCAACTCTGCACGTGTTGTTTACCTGACAATAGTAAGCTGTCAATCCTATTAACCCTCAGGAATTTAGTTTGAGCATGAAGTCGCATGTTTCACCGTTTGAGTTTGAAACTTTTATTCTAAAAAATAATTATTATTTAGTAACCGAAATATTTCTTTAATAAGTAGTTTGACCATAGTTTGACCACAGTTTGACCAGATTTGACCATAGTTTGACCACAGTTTGACCAAAAGTGAAAAAAACTAAAATAATTATTTGTTAACACTAATATTTTTTGAATAATTAGTTTGACCATAGTTTGACCACAATTTGACCAGATTTAATGAAAATTAAAAAAAATTGAAATTTGAGCATATTTTTTCCTTTTAGAATTTGAGGATTCTAAAATTTTGCAAACAGGCCGTAGGCAGTCAAAATCGGATGTGGATTTTCGTGCTGATTTTTTTAATATATTATATTTTTTCGACATCTTATGCAGAAGATATGACCGTTTTACTTTTTCATAACACTTTTTTGCAAAACATGTCCAAATTTAAGTTTTTTTAATTTTCCTAACTAGTATATGTAGTAACAAAACTACATCTCGAAGGATTTTAATTTTTGAAGTTTTTATCTTTTTCTTTTGTTTCTTACAAAACTGAAATGGCGATACACGAGGGCGGTAAAGTTTGAAAATTGACCTTTAGTCCCGGTTTGTGTCTCCAACCGGGACTAAAGGTTAGACCCACTTTGTCCCGGTTTGTGACCCAAACCGGGACTAAAGGGGCTCGTGGGGCCCTGGCCTGACGCCAGCCTGCCACCACCCCTTTAGTACCGGTTTGTACCACGAACCGGTACTAAAGGTTCAACACGAACCGGGACTAATGCATAGCCGTTCGAACCGGCACTAATGGTCACATTAGTGCCGGTTAATTTACAAACTGGAACTAAAGTGCTGAACATTAGGTCTTTTTCCTACTAGTGAACTGGGACACATGAAAAACATTGTGAATGTGACTGTCAGGTGGCAGAGTTAACCTATAAGCCATGGTGCCAATGCGTTGCTCCCCTGGAAAGGGGCCAAAGAATTTGTAGGCCAATTTGGGACATGGGCGATTTGCCACTGTTGACTGAGCGTTGGGTTGCAGTTTGAGCAACACATGTTCCCCCACATTGAACATTCTCTCCATGCGATGACGATCTGCTTTCTGCTTGCATCTGTTCTGAGCACGTGCCAGCTGAGCACGCAATCTGTCGTTATGTTGTGCCCACTCCAAATCTGTGTCCTTGTTGTGTGGTAGCTTGGCTGTGATGTCGGGAAAACCACCCAAATTGGGCTCTTGGCCATACAGAGCTTTGAAAGGATAAGTATCGAGCGAGGAGTGATGAGTAGTATTATACCAGAATTCTGCTGTTGGAAGCCATTGATACCATTTCTTGGGGCTGTCATGTACTGCACGGCGCAGGTACATCTCCAGACACTGATTAACCCGCTCACTCTGGCCATCTGTCTACGGGTGGTATGTCGTGGAGTAGCTGAGCTTGGTGCTCCCAGCCTCGAGAAGAGCCTGCCACATAGCACTGGTGAAGACGCGTGATACATCTCGAACGTATCTACTTTTTCAAACACGTTTGCCCTTGTTTTGGACTCTTAACTTGCATGATTTGAATAGAACTAACCCGGACTGACGTTGTTATCAGCAGAATTGCAATGGTGTTATTTTTGTGCAGAAATAAAAGTTCTCGGAATGACCAGAAACTTCACCGAGTCATGTTTTGGAATTAATAAAAAATATTGGCGAAATAATCAACAGAAGGGGGCCCACACCCTGTTCATGAGGGTGCAGGGTGGGCCCCCGGCCTCGTGGGTCCACTGGACCTCTACCGACCTCATCTCCAACTCTATATATTCACGTTCCGGGAGAAAACAAACAAAGAGAAGGATTCATTGTGTTTTACGATACGGAGCCGCTACCAAGCCATGTTCTTCCTCAGAAGGGCTAATCTGGAGTCCGTTATGGGCTCCAGAGAGGGGAACCCGTCGCCATCGTCATCATCAACCATCCTCCACCACCAATTTCATGATGCTCACCGCCATGCATGAGTAATCCCACCGTCGGCTTGCTGGACGGTGATGGGTTGGATGAGATGTTGGGGAACGTTGCATAAAATAAAAATTTTCCTACGTTCACCAAGATCAATCTATGAGTTCATCTAGCAACGAGAGAGAGGGGTGCATCTACAAACCCTTGTAGATCGCGAGCGGAGCGTTCAAGAGAACGAGGTTGAGGGAGTCGTACTCGTCGTGATCCAAATCATCGGAGATCCTAGCGCCGAACGGACGGCACCTCCGCGTTCAACACGCGTACGGTCAGCGTGACGTCTCCTCCTTCTTGATCCAGCAAAGGGGGAGGAGAGGTTGATGAAGATCCAGCAGCACGACGGCGTGGTGGTGGATGCAGCAGGGATCCCGGCAGGGCTTCGCCAAGCGTCTGCGGGAGGGAGAGGTGTAGCAAGGGGGAAGGGAGGCGCCAAGTGCAAGGGTGCGGCTGCCCTCCCTCCCCCCCTCTATATATAGGTTCCCCAAGGGGGGCCTAGGAGATGCGATCTCCTAGGGGGGCGGCGGCCAAGGGGGGTGCCTTGCCCCCCAAGGCAAGTGGAGGCGCCCCCTCCCCTAGGGTTCCCAACCCTAGGCGCAGGGGGGGGGGGGCAGGGGGACGCACCAGCCCACCAGGGGCTGGTTCCCCTCCCACTTCAGCCCATGGGGCCCTCCGGGATAGGTGGCCCCACCCGGTGGAGCCCCGGGACCCTTTCGGTGGTCCCGGTACAATACCGATGAACCCCAAAACTTTCCTGATGGCAGAAACTCGACTTCCCATATATAATTCTTTACCTCCGGACCATTCCGGAACTCCTTGTGACGTCCGAGATATCATCCGGGACTGCGAACAACTTTCGGTTTGCTGCATACAAATATCTCTACAACCCTAGTGTCACCGAACCTTAAGTGTGTAGACCCTACGGGTTCGGGAGACACGCAGACATGACCGAGACTGCTCTCCGGTCAATAACCAACAGCGGTATCTGGATACCCATGTTGGCTCCCACATGCTCCTCGATGATCTCATCGGATGAACCATGATGTCAAGGATTCAAGCAACCCCGTATACAATTCCCTTTGTCAATCGGTACGTTACTTGCTCGAGATTCAATCGTCGGTATCCCAATACCTCGTTCAATCTCGTTACCGGCAAGTCACTTTACTCGTACCATAATGCATGATCCCGTGACCAGACACTTGGTCACTTTGAGCTCATTATTATGATGCATTACCGAGTGGGCCCAGAGATACCTCTCCGTCATACGGAGTGACAAATCCCAGTCTTGATCCGTGTCAACCCAACAGACACTTTCGGAGATACCCATAGCATACCTTTTATAGTCACCCAGTTACGTTGTGACGTTTGGTACACACAAAGCACTCCTACGGTATCCGGGAGTTACATGATCTCCTGGTCTAAGGAAAGGATACTTGACATTGGAAAAGTTCTAGCAAACGAACTACACGATCTTGTGCTATGCTTAGGATTGGGTCTTG